TCCACAACCATAGAAGAGCCTGCACCTCCGGTAATGTCAACCACGCCACTGCAACCTCCACCGCCACCACCACCAATGATGGTGTCGTCCATGGTCTCTTCTTCCACGTTAGAGGGTGTGGTCTGCGTGGGCGGATGACGTGTAGACGCCTTTCGAGAGCTCGAAGTCTCGTCACCGTCCTCCGCCATCGTCTCACTTTCCTCCGGTACACCCTCCAGGGCCTCCAACTGCTCGCGCGCGTTCGTCCACACCGTCTGCAACACCACCGAGTCTTCGAAGATCTACACAGAAGGCAAATAGAGCGTTGACGCGAGCTTCTCACGTGCACACGTCGTCGCAAAACAGATTGTGTTTGAGTGACCGCTTCTAAGGGCAAATGTAGCCGTTTTCTCGTCCTGATGTGCTTCTTTCCATGCAATTTTTACGCGTTAGTATGAATTTCTGCCTTATGCACCAGAATTAAGGCTTTCATTAAATTCGATAAAAAAGAATATTATAAACACCTCTTCATTGCTTAAATTTTCGCCGAAGAAACGAAAACAAAAGTAGACAATAGTTTCAGAAGAATAAAAACTTCCCTCAATAAAAGTTGCGAGATATAACTTTAAATTCGAATATGAATAGATCACACTGCATCAACCATTTATGATTGAATAGGCTTTAAAGCTAAACAGAAAGTGTGGTGACAGGATGGAGACTCACCAGACTACCATCCATGTTGTAGGTCTGAGCATTTTTGCACAACAGAAGGATGTCTGCTTCCAACTCATCCATTGAGCGGTATTTTCCGTCGCGCACACGCGTCTTGATGCGATGGAAGTCGACGGGTCGCTTAATCACCTCGTAGTAGTCTGGCAGCTCCTTCCGTGTCGGCAACTTCATAAAAGGCTCGCTCAACACACGCTGATCTCTTAAGGAAAAAAAAGAAGCATGAAGACGATGACAGTAGATCAACATGGACTAGCAAAGGTGGATCCGACTCACTTGTCCTTATAATCGATGACAATCTGCAGGAGACGTTTCATACGCTCCTGCAATTTCGGTGAGATAGGTCGACGCGCATTGGACGATGAGGCGGCCGAGGCGGACTGCGGTGGACGGCCTCTGCGACGCTTCACCGCTGGGGCTGCCTTCACACTACTCCCAGCCTCCGAACTGGCGTCGTCCATGCCACTGTAATCCGGCTAAAGAGTAAAATAAAAACACTGTTTAGCGATCACTACTAAGCTCATCGGTTGGGGAAATGGATAAATAACTAATGGCGTTCATTGCATCAAACATGGAAGCAAGGTAAAAACAACCCAAGACTTATTTCCTTCAGACCAGGACAACCTATCATCCATTCGATTCGTAGCATTCTGGACTTGTCGGAATATACTGCAGGCGTTCAAAACAGCTTTCAGAAGACCATCCTAGGAAGTTTCCGAAGTTGCTTTTCAGGTATCATTTAAATGCAGGGTTGAGAGCCTACATGAATGTAATTCATGCTACCTGTGTTTTTATTTGAAGGAAAACCCCAAAAGACCCAATTCGTATTGAACACAAGTGAGACCTCACTTCGTTACGTTTCCGCTTGCGCTTGGCCTTGCGCTGTCGCGATTTCTCCTCAGCTTCCTCCAAACTGCCCTCATCGATAGCCTTGAGGAATTGGCGATCTGTGAGAGCGTCCGAATAGTCTACCTCCTTGCGTTGACGACGCATGGTGAGAAGACAGGACTCATCCATGGCAAGGCTCTTCTCCACTTCTTCCTCATTGCGGACAATCCAGTCGGGCAGTTCCGAGTACTCCATCAACCGGGGCTCGGGTTTGGCCTGCTGGCGCTCGGTCACCTGACGTTCCGCGTCCATACGCTGGTAAATGTCGAACTCCTTCTCGGTGCGAGCAAGCATCTGGTTTACCGTCTCATCATCCGGAGCCTCGTTTTCATCCTCGTCTGCTTCGTCGTCGGCCTCGAGGAGGTTCTGCAGAAATTGGCGCCGCTCCAGACCCGTGGACTTGTTGTCAAACATACCGGCCTGGATGACCTTCTCGTCAACGTTAAGCTTGTAACGTGCGGCGGCCAAAATCTTCTCCTCCACAGAGTTAATTGTAATGAGACGCAAAACGCGAACCTGTATTCACAAACAAAATGCCGTGATGGGTTAGAAACCAGAGCTAGCTACTGTGGCTAACAGGGATTACAAATAGTTCGGAAGGTCATATCATTTAGTTTCTTAATAAAATTTACCAATTCGAATGTACTGAGATGGAATTTGATAGGTAAGGCATGAAAGTTAGATTTAACAAAATGGAGACATTTATTTAAGCACGGCAATTGGAACTTCAATCGCATGATAACACATCAGAATGAATGGGAAATGAGAGTTAATGGAGAATAGGATTACATTACAGTAGGGTATTTTAATCATACATTCCAGGATGGAGACCTGTTCATCTCCCTAAAATGTGCCTACTATGGGGACGTGGTTATGTCGTCTACGCTACTGATCCTTTAGTGCTTTGGTACGACTCACGCCACACCAGCGGCAGTGTTAGCAAATCCATCCCAACGAAACAATGATCCCACTTTTCACTGGCCAGACACCACGACACAGTGAATACGCGTTTGTTGCAGATGGCTGAATCTGAGAGCTTACGACAGAGGACTACCCACAACTTAAATGTTGAGGCCGAAAATTGAGGAACAGATTTAGGCTAATCAAAAGGTGTATAAGTGAACCATTTACATAAGTGATGTCGAAAAATTGAATTGTGAGGAGATGATACACCTCTCTTTGCGTTATGGGCAAGCGATCCTACGAGGACCATTAAGGAAATGGGATATATTCGCTTTAGAACGTAGTTAAGCCTTTGGCACTACTGCCTAAATACACTCCCTCTCAGTGAGTACATCTAGCAACCTGCCTTGTAATTGACTGCAGTTAACAAGACAGCTTGTGACAGTCGGAGCAGAAGGGTGACCACAGAGAGTATCGAGACCTATTCAGCCTCGTGCCACCAATAGGATTGGCCCCCCAACACTTGTGAGCGTTTTGAATAAAACTACTTCTAGACTGGCCAGCCCTACAACGGTTTTAAGAATAACTCGGACGTTGCACACTAAAACGGTTATGCCTGTATGATTTTGCAAGGACGTTCTAGATTGGGTTACAACGAGACACATACTCTAAGGCCAGCCACTTCACACAAGCGCAATTTTACGTTTTCAGCCTCAACATAACTTCTATAAAACCTGGCCATAAAATGAAGACGACTGGTCAATATAAAGCAATGGTTGGAGAGACGCATAAATTATTACAATCATTTTAGAGCCGGAAAACTATAAAACCAAATTTTTGATTCAATATGATAAATTGTGGAGAGGGTTTGAATCAAACCGTAACTACGTTCCACAAAAGAGCACCAAATTGAACTCAACTATGCGATCTAAAGTACTAACTTGATACAAATACGCTAAAACCACCTCGGAACTTACCGCATTAAAAAAGGTAGAAAAACACCTCACCGACACTACAAATGATCCGATAAAAGTGAATTGAATCCATAATGTGACCGTCTTCGACAATGCCCAGGGGTGGTACTCTCGAAATGAATCAACCGATAAAGGTGTCTTTCAAGCTTGTACAAAGATAGTCTTAGAATTTGACGTGAAATCTAAATGCTAGCAGAGAGGAAGACATATGATTCATTTCAAGACTGTAGCTAAAAGAACAGCTGCAAAATAGGGATTCTGAAGAACTAATTAGAAGATATACACAGGATAAAATGGAGGAATTAGGTGAATTCAATGGAGCAGGACACACCTCATTTTGCTGACCAATACGATGGGCACGATCCTGTGCCTGTAAGTCCTGGTGCGGGTTCCAATCCGAATCAAAGATGATAACCGTATCCGCCGTCTGGAGATTCAAACCCAACCCTCCAGCTCGAGTGGACAACAAGAAGATGAAGTACTCCTGCGACTCATCATTAAACTCCTTCAGCATTTCCCCACGATCATCCGCCCTAGTGGCACCATCCAGTCGAAGGTACCGGAAGCCCCGGTAGTCAAAGTAGTCCTGCATGATGGTCATAAGGCTGGTCATCTGGCAGAAGATAAGTACTCGATGTCCGGTGGCTCGCAGCTTCGGCAGAATGCGGTCGAGCAATTCAAACTTGCCGGAGGAACGGAAAAGAAGCTTCCCCTCCACCTGAGTCGGAGGCAGCTGGCCAGGTAAGGGAGGGTTCTGGAATTCTGCAATTGCTGCCTCGATGTGGCTAAACATGAAGGGGTGATTGCATATCTTGCGTAGCTGCATGATTGTATTCATCAAGGTCCTCGTACCACCTTTGCCCTACAATAAAAGGGCAAAAGTGGTGAATGAGTTAGAGAGGACAATCAGTCGAAAAAAAGAGATGATGGGGTGAAGTGAAGAGCATCCTCGAAGCCACTCACATTAGCCATTTAGCTGTATTGCAAAATACGAAACATCAAGTGCAGTATTAGGTTATTGTCTAATGCAGAGAAATCATTTCTGAAAGCTATAAATTCAAGGAAGGAGTACCTTTTTGTCTCTCTCCGAGCCGTCGGTGAGAATGACTCCCTTTGACTGCATGTAGGAATAGAGGACGCGTTGGAGGGCGGACATCTCGCAGCGAATAACGTACTCCACCTTCTCGGGCAACTGTGACTCCACCTCCTTCTTGAGGCGACGCAGAAGGAAAGGACGAAGCACTTTGTGTAGACGGCGAATGATCAACAGGGTCTCCTCATGGTTCAACTCCACCTTCAAGGCAAATGCAGAGGGCTAGTTACTCAAATGGTTAAGTAAATCAGTCAAGGAGCGTTAAACCATAGCCACAGAGATCCGAGGGCCAGTAAAATACAGATGCTACGGAAATTTGTAGACATCATGCGATCTGGCTCTGGTTATACTATCGACCATTACCGTGATATAAAGACGCATGTATCTTCAAAATAGCCTTTGCCGGTGGGTATATGTCAATAACAAGAATAATAAAATCTTTTTCAAGCTTCTTTCAAATGCCTGGAGTCGAGTAAGGGAGTGATAAATGCAAAGGATCATCCTCTTTGAAATACTTGTTCTAGAAACTGAGAACCGCATGGTTAACGCTCCACAAAACTTACTTTCTACCACTAAAGCACAGAAGAGACTCACCTTTTCTCCAGTAGCCGCAAAAGGTGCATTGAACCACTGCTCAAACGTGTTACAACTGTCAAAGATCTTTGGCAGCAAGAAGTTGAGCAGAGCCCAGAGTTCTGGCAACTTATTCTGCAGTGGCGTCCCCGTTAACAGCAAACGATACGGTGCGTTGTAGTGATGATTTAATATCTGCGTCAACTTGCAGTGGTGATTTTTCATTCTGTGTCCCTCGTCAATAATCATGTAGCGCCAGTTGACCTTTGACAGCGCCGACTTATCCTTGATAATATACTCGTAAGTGGTGAGAAGAACGTTAAACTTAGCCGCCTTGATTTGGTTCTGCAGAGCACGGCGGCATTGAGGTGAGCCCTTGTAAAGAATCTTCTTTACGCTGGGGGCCCACTTCTCAAACTCCATTGCCCAGTTGGCCATAACGCTGGAAGAAAAAAGTGTTAGATAGCTTGGTGCCGGGATAGAAAGATAAGACGAGGAAAGGGGACACATACGAGAGAGGTACGATAATGAGGTAGGGTCCATTGACACGTTTCTTCTCCATCAGATAGGTAATAAGGCCGATGGTTTGGATTGTCTTGCCCAGACCCATCTCATCGGCGAGGATGCCATTGAGATTGTTGTTGTAGAGGGAGACGAGCCACTCGAGGCCACGCATTTGATACTCCTTCAGCTTGCCATTAACGAGGATGGAGGCCTGCTCCTTTACCTGCTCACGAATGGCATGCGCTAGGGTGTAGTAAGACTGACTCCCACCCGACTTGTACTCGTCATCCTCGTTGCCACGCACGGAGTCCATCACCGCGTCGTCGTCATCGTCCGCGGAGACATTCTTCTTCTTGGCCGAGGCCTCCTCATCCTCCTCCACTAGATCCACCTGCACTACACCATTCTCGTCTGTCGGCGCAATCTGTTGAAAGGGACGCGCAGTGACTTTGGAGATACCCTATTACCTTCGGGGATCGTCTAGACCTCAAACACAACAGGTGTGACCGATTGCTAAGCTAAAAACTTAAATTTCGTGAGATTGCCAAAATAAAGCTGTACACTTTTGATTGAAAAGTGGATAGCATTTTTTTATAAATCTTGGTTCAATTTATGCAAAATGAACCAGAAATATAGTCGGTTTCCCTAGTAGTTCATGAGATTGATATAGTGACATCTAGTCTGCGAATTGAATTGCAGGATTTGGGATTTCGCGGAAAGATAGTATCTAAAAGGTCGCCGATAACGTCCCTTTTATGATCTAAGATGAAAAGAATTTGATAAAAATGATCCTTCTAGAGTCAGGATATAGATACCCAATTTCCCCTATAGATCATCCCAGGGCCAACACAGCGAAAAAAAAACTTATCCTTAGTTAAAAGACAAATATTTTAATAGCACTAGACCAAGAACAAAGGAAGTTTCCAAAGCACCCCAATGGTTAATGCAGCGATATTTACCACCCAAGTCGGGCTGTACGAAATTTGGAATGAGATGGGAAATTTTCGGGAAAAAAAGAGAAAACGCGTTTCTTGTCAGAAAGAGAAACGATATTTAACATGACTACTAAAAAAAGATAAGGAAACGCACCTCCCAGCCAGGATGCTCCTGCAGCCACGTATGCGCTTCGTTGGCATAGGGCGCAGACTCGCCTTCAAGGATCTCCTTAGTACTCGGATTGGCAACAGGGAGACGAATGTTTGGCCAAGGGATAGTGGTGAGGAGAGGTGCCTTCCCCGCGGCCAACTCTCGACTCGCTTGAACCAGTTCATCAGGAAAGACGCCCGGTGGGGGGAGGGTGTTAAGCCAGGCTGGTGCTGTTACCCCCTCAAAGATAAGATTCTTTGCCAACGCGTGATACTTATTCACTGCGTTCAGTAGACACCGCTCTTGCGCGGCTCTGCAACGCTCCCTAATGTCCTTAATGCGCAGCTTATTTTGCTCTTTCTTATGATCCTTCACCAGCTTCGCAAGATTGTCAATAAACTGATCGGTCTGGGTGAGGAGATAATGTAAGCGCTTGTTCTTCTTCTTGTCAATCAACGTGCGATAGCCCGCATCGTCCTCCTCCATCAATCGGCGCATACGCTCCCGATCGATACGCTGTTGGGTGCGACGCCGGTCACGTTCCGCAGTGAGAATGGCCTTGTTGATCTTCGACATGCGCACACTGGCGTTACGATGGTACTCGCGGAACTCCCGACCATGGCTCAAAACCGCGTTGAGGAATTCTTGGTGTTTCTGGCGTCGCCGCTTCTCCTGTTCGTGCTTCATCTGACGCTCCAGTTTCTCGGTGAAGCGAGCCTCACGTAAACTCTGCTTCTTCGGTCGCCGATAGGCCTTGATGTTGAGCGCTGTCTCCAGACTAGTGTCACGTCGCATGGCTGAGACAATGTCCTGTCGCAACTGGCGCTGGAAATTGAGCAGACGCAGGGAGCGTAATTCAATCTCCAGACTGACACGCTGTTGCGGAGTGGAAAAGACGCTGAGGGAGGAGAGGGTCTTGATGCGCTGACCAATACGCGATTGGATACGCTGCTCACGCTCCTTCAAGAGCTCAACGGGGTCAAGGCCCTGTGGACGCTGGATCGAACCGATTCGACTGCGCCCGATGAGCGGTGCCTGCGAAGCGGCCATATAGGCGGCGTTCGGAGGGGGTCCTGTATAACCAGGATAGCCCCATCTCATGGGCATTTGATGGGGAGGGTAGTTAGGAGGACGGTTCTGTGAAGGTGGCGGTGGTTGTTGTTGTTGCGCGTATATCTGCTGCGATGGCACCTCCTGACCGGGTTGTGGGGGTGGTGCGGGTACAGGAGCCCTAGGTTGATAGCTGTGGAAACCAGGAGCAGCAGTAGGGGGCACTCGGCCCTCAGCCAGATAGAGGATGTTCTCAGGAACCGACTGAGACTTAGAAAGCAGCTTATACGCGCTGATTTGAGCACGTAGTTGCCCAAGTTGACTTTTGACGAAAGCAGAGGGCTGCAACATAGGACCGACGGAGGTATTGGGTGGAGGTGGGAAGACAGCTCCGGCGGCAGCACTACCGCCGTAACTTGCACCCGGATGCGGTGGATACAATGGTGGTGGGGCTCCATCGTAGCCCTGACCAGGAAGTGGCTGCGGACGGCCGACGATGACGTTGGGAGGAGCGCCGCCCTGCATTTGAGCTGACAGGGGCGGCTGGTGGTGGACTGTGGGAGGACCCTGAGCCACTGGCATCATGGGAGGGCTCACGTAACCCCCTTGACCGGGTACAAACACCTGTTGCTGCTGAGGTGGAGGTAGTGGGGGAGCTGGCTGTGATCGTGGAGGCTCCTGACCATTCATGACCGGGGGCGGCCCAGTGGTAGGTGGTATTTGCATTTGCTGTGGCGGTTGCTGCATCTAGTCATAAAGGATAAATTCGACCGTCATTTCCAAGTAACAAGGAACCAAGGTAATTGGAAAGAACAAGGATAAGGTTTCCTAACCCATTAAGCAAATGACGACTAACATCAAAAAGGGCAGGCTCGAAAACGACCTAAACGGATTTCGAAATACCTCACAACAACAGTCAAAATATTTTAATCAGTGCAAAAATGAGTTTAAAATCTCACAATTGAGTGGGGTTTACATACTATGAACTATGGACGTAAAAAGCCCCACATTAATCTACATGAAAACATGAAGTTACTAACACTCCACTGTATGAAACAGACAAATACCGTAGTAAGTCGGGATTAAAATGACGCGCAAAACCACAACTAAGGTGAAAAGCCTTCATCGTTGATCAGTTCATCAGTCTTGCTTACCTCATCTTTTGAACGAAATAAAGCCGCAATTCTTAGCCAGTCTGATTCAAGATACCAGTAAGCCTTCCAAAGTAACTCCTGAACAACTTTTCAAAAAAAATCTATGCAATTGCCCAATGGACAAAAACAGAACCATCGCCTAAATCGTATCGCTTTTGTCATGATTTAGAAATGCTCACTTCAACCTCTAGATGGTCGCCGCGCGCGACATTAGCGTTAAACTAGGAGTGTGTAGTGAATATCGAGCCAAATGAATGCAATGCATCATAACCCCCTGTTCAACACTGCAATACCAAGCAACAAAAGTGAGCCCATGTAATCAGCGACGCAAATAGAAGACATTTAAACATAACACAAAATTGAAACACAAAAACAAAGTAGAATCAAACCATGGATGGGGTTCGAAGCAGCAAAACTTGCGGGAAGTTAAACGAACATAAACACCATCTTTGGACCGCCTTAACCAAAAAAACCCAAGTAAAAGGATTTTAGAAAAAAGCAAACACCTTTCTAGAGTGAAAACACGGGTTTCCGTGAGAGGATATCACCGCAACTTAGCTTACTATCAGTGGACCCTACAGACAAGCAGCTTTGAAAATAACGGACGGCCGGATCAACCGCTCAAATAGTAGGGCCGGGATAATCAAACAAACAACAGATACAAAATAATATGCCGACAATATTTAAAACTGCCTTTAACTGCACACAAATCTCAAAAAAAATTTTATGTCTAATTTTACTGAAAAAGCACCTAGGCGATTTAAATAATAAAAATCGTGCAAAAATCAGTGAATAGGAAAGTGCAGAAAAAGATTGCTCTATTGTGCTATAGCGTGAGATGCACTTCTAGAGCACATGCACTGCCACTAACAAATGTTTGAATTTTTCTGGATTAAAAGGCTTTGATTAGATGATTTTCTAAATTAGTTATTGCTGCAATATTATAAAAATTTTTGGTCTTGAATATCTTAAAATAAGTATATCACTAATCGTTTAGCAAAATTTTATTTAAACAGTTGTGCTTTATGGTTTTTGTCAAAAGTGATTAATACTTGATTTCTTTGTTTTGTCAAGGAAATTTTAAATCATAGGTCGACCATATAGTGGGCGGCTGTTTAATAATGTTTATAAATCAATTTATGCGAATTCACGTGTTCCTGGGTTTTTCATTGGTTGATGTTTGGCCGCTTTAGTTGAATGCGCGTATTGTCTAGCTGATCCTGTTATAATGTTTTGGTAATTCTGCTACAGTGCAGACCTAGTCTTTTCATCTAGGAACTCTTTAAGAATGAGTAGACATCCGAGGTTTTCCAGTTTGCCGAATTTGTGTTCAAACTGCCGTACGTGCATTCAGCAGTCTTCCTCTAATCGGGTGATTTTATTTACTGGTTTTTGTTTTATGTATTTTAATGTACCAGTGTCTTTTGCTTTTCCAACCTACCGATAACTTGGCCATATTTGTAATATCAGTTCGCCACCCTCCAATCAGACTGCGATCAATCAAACCAGTTATTTAATTTTGCTGAAGAAGAAGCTGTGGTAATGGCTCATGAGCTTGAAGTAAGTTTTACTATTTTTAGCCGAATAAATCAATTATCTTTTAATCTAGCATCTTAATTTGGACCCCTATGTCTCCAACAACGTACTTGCCACGTTGAAGAAACACCTTGTCCAAGGCATGCAGAATTATCAGAGTCGTCTTCGCTCCTCTTGTCCTGAAAGCACCGTTTTTAACCAATCTAGGCCAGTTTCTTGCCGCGCTCGCTCCTCCTCCTCTTCTTCTTTTCCGCCACCCAATCCCTGTCCTTCTCCTAGTCCATCCAATAATTTTCATCACTCGAAAACTCCGTTCCAATCAGGAATGTCGTCCCAGCCTTGTTCTCCTGATTCCTGTCTCCCTTTCCATATCATCCCTCCTGTATGCTCGCCTTCTCCCAACCCCTCGCATACTCCATCTCCCAATATCAATTCGAAGAGGCCTAATGAGCCCTCTCCAGACTGCTTATCTCGGTCACATACACCTGAGTGCCGTCTTAATCCCAATCGTTACGATCTTGCTCCACAAGTGCCTTTGGGCTATCCAGCTATTAAATGTGTAAGCACTGGTACCTCTCTACTCTCTTTCGGCAATTTAAACCTTTGCTGATTTTGATTAAACCAGCAGATGGATCAGAGCCAGAGTCCTCAGTTGAACAATCGCCACGACAATGAAGTGCACCCTCTGTGTCAAGAATCAGGTGTTTGTAGAGCCGCATTGAGCCCTAACCTCCCCCAGTCACAGGACCCTGAGGTGTGTTTTTGTCACGATTTTGTGTAACCTGACTTTCTTATTTAAAAGACGTCCTACGCTGCTTGTTTTTGTTCCAGTCACTGAATCTGGATTGCTCGCAAATCACTAAAGTCTACCTTTTGAAAGAATGCTCGCCCGTTGAGGAATCACCTTGTTGTCAGTTGATTTTGCAATCATCTCCTCAACAGGTTGGTCTGGAACCTTCGTAAAACATCCTTTTTTTCCAAAAAAACTAGATCAAGTTTTGGGAAGACTTCTAGAATTATTACTATCATATTGTCTTGACAATCGTTAGACTGTGATTTTTGTCCTAAAGCGTAATGAAAATTCTTTGGACCTTTTTGCTTAGGTCGCGATAGCTAGTCTGTTGTTTGTCACTATCTCATTAACCATAAAAGTTCCATTTCCTGAAAGTTTTGCGTTTACTTCTAATCTGAAGTTGCCCATTGAAACTATACGGCAGCACAAACTGTTTTGGGAGTACTGGTGAGGTTTTTGACCTGTATGGAATAATATGGAGTAAATTACGTTTTCGTAGGAGATTTTAAGTCTAAAATGAGCTGCAATTTAGAAACCAGCTAGTTAATGATCCGTTGAGGGTAGTTGTAGTCGAGCGGATCAGCATCAGGATTTGATGTATTTGTTTTTTTAACAGTTGCAAGTACTTAGATTAATAGGGGGACAAAGGTAAACATTTTTTGTGTCCGTGCTGTCAATGGTAACAGTTATTAATAATTTATCGTTTGCCTTGATTAAATGCCCTATTTCTTGTCGAACATACGATAGCCAAATCATTTTTTTAATTGGTTCTTTCTTAAATGCCATAGCAGCTAGACGATCAAGGCTACCCTCCCTGTAGTCGGACAAGGCAGAGTGAGCTGTCAAGGGTAAATAGACGCTTCTGTGGTGAGAATCATGGTCACCCATCTCCCCGTCGTCAAATGGAGCCTCAGGTTCCAGATCATGAAAGCCAGCCTCAGCAGGTTGGTCTGCGATCCTACTATCTGAGCTAATCGACTTAAAGGTGTAAGAGGTGTTGCAGATCATCTTGGTTTGGTAGATAAGTAGGTCGAGTTTGCCGATTAAACGCAACTTTTTACAGTAAGGAGAGTCATGGAAAAATCACTGACTTGAGAGCTTTAACTTTGACGCTTGAAGGAGGCTGTAATTATTTCAGGATTGGCGGTGGGATTTCTAACACTTACTGGAGCGTAGTAAGCTTGAGTGCAAATCCATCTATGTTATGCAGTTGGATTTGTCAAATTTTTGGATCAAATTCGCCAGTAAGTTGGCTGTATTTTGGTGTACCACCACTTCTTACTTAATCTGGCGGCGTAGTCGGACGCAGTAATAATTCGAAGAGTACGCCTTTTTAAGTGGTAGTACTCCCATTGTCAACAGCGTTGGCCGATCGCTTGAGTCTTCATTGGCCTTTTGTTTTGTTAGCAGGTTTCAGTGGCTTGTTCGCCTCATCCCTGCCTATCAGCGGTGAGTTTACTTTGTTATTAAAAAACAACAATAGCCTTCTGGTTGTTCTTTGTTTAATAATATGGAGGGGTGTCACCTGTTGCCTTGGTTACTAATCATCATTCTAACAGGTTCTCGTTTGTTCACCGCGAAAGGACAACGGCTGTCCGTGCAAAAAACAAAACTGTCCATTATCGAAAGAAAAGCAAGACTTATTGGTGGGTTCTTTATTACCTCTTTTTGGTGTAATAAGTTATCATAAATACTTTAAATTCTGAAAATTTGGCAACTCACCCATAATGCGGTCGGTCTGTCTTCTCCCACCGTTATTTTCTTTGCTTCTTTAATTCATTTTATAGGCTAGTAATCCAATTGTGCGATGTGGCTTTTTGCGCTTAGTAGCAACATTTCATGGAAAACTTACCAGGGATCTCTTCATCACTGAAAAGGTGATCGACATGATACGCATGATAAAGGTCGGTTTGATATAATCACAAAAGTTGAGCTATTTCGTTTTACAGACTATTAGCCACTAGCGTGATTACTCCTTAGGACACAGCAGAAGTACTGTTGTCCTTTTGCTCCGACAAGAAATCCACGTTGGAGAAGGAGGAGGAGCAATTCGCCTGCCGTCTGCAATCGCAATTGCAATCCTCGCTGTCTCGACTGCATCATCTCTTCATAGAGACCACATCAGAGGAGCGATTGGCGGCTTTGCGGGGCTCTCACAACTGGCGAGCGGCCAACAACTTCGGTCAGCCGCGACAGCGCTCTCCACCTGTTCCTGCGCTGGCCTGTGGCACCTCGCTCCCGACGCCCCGTACGCCGCTGTACAATCCCTCCCCGTTAGTGGAATTCCTTACTCTTTTTAATAACTGCTACTTATCGTGTTTAAGTAAAATGTTATGTATTGCACTGTCAAGTCAAGTGTCTAAAATTCTGCAGTTATCGAAGACTTACCATAGCTTTATTCGATAATGCTGTTATTTTTTCTTTTTGAGTTGACTTTTTTTGCCATAGGGGGCCCTTTGATGTTTTTTTCTATGTCGCGAACTTTATTCAAATTTTAATTTTTTGAGAATCGCAAGGTTGGATAAGTTTTTTTTCCAATGCACATGAAAACGTACCTGATTAAAGTGTTTTTCTGCCCTATTTATTTACTTACTTTATTTATTTACTTACCTATATTATTGTTATATTATATATTATATTATTACCCTTATAGAAGGGTAACTGAAAGACTCGTAGGTTATGGCAAGTATAGTGAAAAAACCCAGCTTTTAAGTGTTTGTGCGAATAGGATCTGGGCTCTAAGGTGGTTTTATAATTTTCCTAAAAAGTTAGACATGTTTTTAAAGCTTTCGTTGAATTTTATCAATGGGAATTTCTTACTCTCTTATGTCAGACCATTAACTGATTATCTCACCTATTTATTAAAAATTCCGGCATGATAAATATTTTGAAATTGTTTATAATTTCCTATTTGATTACGTTTTTCAAGTTTCCGAATGATTTTTAGAGATCATTTTGATAAGAGTCATGGTAATATTCCCTTCACCCAAATAATGCTATCACCTATTTCAATCTCATGATGACTTTGGGATCACGGAATTGGACGTGAAATGTATTTCCCCAACATAAAGCGCAAACCCTCATACCTGTTTTGGGTATTTGGGCAACATATTTGTCATGGACAATAAACAGGACCTTGTCTCCAAATTGCTGTATCGAGCAGTTGCCAATGTGTACTCAAAGCGACGGTTCCTTGGTTGTCTAATTCGTTCCAAGGTCGTGTTACATTAACTTTGCTGCCACTTTTTGCGTGTATGCAATTCATTGCTCCTAAAAAGTGAAGGGAACTTAAAAACTCGTATCTACACATTTTGGCGTTAAATCTGTATTTTAGGGGTGGGAATTGTGGGTTCTCACAGAGTCTTTTTTTGGACTAAAGGTCATATATCACTCTTCTTAACTAACCGTAATTATTTCATCCTAGACTATCAGGAAGTGTATTGCGAAAGTGGCTTGTGTTAGAATTATCTTAAGAGCGTAACTGTCTGTCTTAGAGCATTTATAGAAATTTGTGCCGGTTCCTTGCTTGCTTTTAAGGTCTGTTTCATTGCCCTTTATGACAGCGAATGATTGAACCAACTCAATCAACTTCTAGATACTTGTTCTTTATAGGGAAATTTCTTTGGTTTTATTCTACATTTAGTGAAAGATATTACTTGAGTGGAAATATGTATTTTTTGGGTTTTATGTAATGCGTTCATACTATGGGTGGACATTACCCCTCGAGACAAAGTCGGCTGACAGTAGACACAGGTGAGTCTTTGAGGTAGTCCTATTATGCACGAACGGAGGGGCTAGGAGGATAGTACCATAGGGTTCCATGGTACTGTCATCTAGGCAGAATTGTAGAAGCCTCAAAGGGCCTGAAACACGCCATTTTGTTACAGGCATTAATTCGAATATCACTTTCGGATAGGGGTTGTGTCAATAAAAAAATAAATAGTGAAGATGAGATACTTCACCCATGTTTCATGGTCTAAAGTGGGTGGTTTTATGGACATAAAAGTTTTTACCGCCTCGTAAATTTTACTCATTGGTTGTTGAGTCAAAACCTGTCGTCTACATTCCGAAATAAAATACAACTGTTGATTTAAGTGGCATTAAAACGTGGGGCAAACCATAGGAAAACTGTTAGAACTAGTATATAAGGACTCTTTTAGCCAATTTATAAATAATAAATCTACGAGTTATGTATTGGGATGAAGTGCATTTGAAAGTTTACCCTATTTAATTGTTAGATTAGTGTGAAAGCTAATGGAATTTTTAGAATTGTAATGTACATTTTAAAGCTTCCTCCATTTGCCCATGTGGAGTATTCATGCTTTTATGATTTTTCATCATAACTCCTCTCTTCCGTTTTTTGTGAAGCTCCGTGGGGTAGTGGAGTCTTCCAGCAATTGCCTCTTTTATGATCGAACAGTAAAAGTGAAATTACTCTCACGTCAGTTTTAAATTAACCTTAAAATTTCACAATACATTTTTTTATTTGAAAACGGCACATCAGTATTATTACTGAGCCTAAGAATGGTCGTTTGCAACAATGAGTAGGCTCATAACCTGTAAAACCAATTTCTAAATATATCTTTGCCTAAAGTAACATTGAAAACAGTCTTTGTGCATTGGTTCTACATCTATTGAGAGCCCTTGTCACTATTCAACTAAACTTTCCTAAAATCATTCTGATTTATGCGATTCTTAATGGAGATTCGTTAGTCCAATTGCTTTAATAACCACCTTGATGAGTGTTTATAGTTATTCGGCTGTAGACACCTTTCCTCCTTTCTCCTTTCGGACAATTTGCCATCTTCCGCATAGCTAAAATGCTCACTTTAAAGCCGTGAATCAACAATGTTGCCTCGCTAGTCATCTCAATCTACTTACCCATCCGGTTGAAGTTGTTGGTTTGCCTATAAGCTCCTGGCCAGGGACTTCACATTACTCATCGGTTGTTAAAGTACTTCAAGTTTACCACCCCTTCATGTACTAGCTTTTTTCAACAGGTTACGGTTCCATACTTCGGTGATTTACGCAGTTGTACCTTTGGAATTAGGCATCCATCATTCGAATGCCGCTCTAGTCAAGTGTTAGTCCTCTGTCAATATACCACTAAAAACACTTCGAGCATCAGTGGCTTTGAAAAACCGGGTATTTATTCCACATTTTTGGTTGCTATATAGCCTTTTGGTTAATTCTTTGAAGCCCCAGATTCACGAACGTCGACCCCTTAGTTTGGACGCATTGTCTTCATAATCGGTTTATTTTCAACATTAGATAAAATCACGGCGAACAAAATCCTTGTTAACTGGCATCAAACAGTTTGCAGCAGATATTCTGTCAGCCCTAGTTACCTATGTATGCTTTGGTAGCCTTTGCGCTCAAGATTTTCATCTTCATCCTAGGTGTTATTCATGATAAACCGTTTTATTCAGAACTCCCAGTCAAATCCCGGATATCTAAGTTTCTGTTGGCTCTAGATCCCCAATTGAGTCTCAGAGACGTTTATAAACAGCCATTTAAGTACTACTTGAGTAGCGTTACAGTAGAAGATTTGGCAGTAGCTCTGCGTTCACAACCTGATTTTGTGAAGGCAAGGTTCACCCTCCCCAGCCCCGCAGCAGCGGCAAAGGCGTCAGGAGCACGAGAAGCCGCCGTCCGACGCCTCGTCCGACGTGCTCCGCTTTTGCGACGACTGGTATCAATGCAACCGTCTCTGCGCTCTCGCCAATCTCCGACTGAATCCCCGCGCAGTCCCCGCAACGACCTGTCCTCCAAACTCGCCGCGCACAGCCTGCTTCACGTGCCAGCGTCGAACTCAACCTCCACCCTCCTCGTTGTTGGAGCGAAAGCAGGCGCCCTCAAGCCGAAATCAACGCCAGGGGGAGCGAAGATCCTCACTCGAGAGAAATCAACATCCCATGACGGAGAAAGGGCAGTGGCAGTCGGAACGAAGTCGTTGCCCGGCAGAGAGACTCAAACCCTTATCAAAGGAGAATCCGTGTCTCTCGGACCAAGGACAACTGCCACAGCGCCCACTGAAGCGAAAGCAGTGCCAAATGGATCGAACCCGCCCGTTGGGGCGATCCAAATCTTCAGGGGAAAAGAAACAACGTCATTTAGACCAATGTCAGCGTTCTCCCCTGTCGCCCTTGATGCTGGCATCAGAGGAAGCGCCGAGGTGTCTAGACTCGTGGGAGGAGGAGGGCGAGAATCTGCCGCACCGAGAGGAGATGGTGGATTCACCGAGACCGCTGGTGCGGCTATGGCGGGAAGGAAGCGAAAAGTCGCTCGACTCCTCGGACCTCAGCAACGCCGCGATTGCCCCTTGCAGTGGATCCCGAGACGAGAGCTCGACACACAGCCAGGACCTTGTAAGTTATGCGCTCTTTTTTTTACAAGGAGCGTTCAAGTCAAACGTAAGCTGCATTCATTTTTCGACATAGTGCTACATAGGCCTACAAAAAAGAGATGAAAGGCTTTGACAAAGGACTTTTTGTCATTGTGGCTAAACCATCCTGTAACAGCCTACTTTACTTTGTTATCGGTTCTAAAATGCTGACTTCCCAGTGTTCGGGATTTCCTCTTTTAGGGATCCACCAGGTGGAATTCACTCAAAGTGTGGTTTGGGCTGTAAGGAGATGTTGCAGTACTGAGTTGCTGTAATGTGAATAGTTTGAGCTTGTGCCATGAGCCAACCTTTACAAATTGTACTTGATTGTGTTACCTATCGTCACGCAGCAGGTTATATACCAATCTGGTAGGTGTTATATGTACAAGCTGAATGTTCGCAGAAATTGACTCTTGTGGGCTGTGGGGTCGAAAAGGATCGTCACTGGCAGGTATGCGGTCAGTCATCCTTGAGATGATGACTTACACCCGATATATTACCACTGAGTAACTACGTTTTCGACCACTATGCCAAATGCTGCTTAAGGTCTTTTATAGAAGCGAGCATTTATCTCCTGGTTCGAGTTTTGTGACTACGTTCATAAGAAACTGCACTTATCACCGTATTCCAACCAGTACCTGCATTCACCACTGTTGGCTGCCCAGTTTATTATCGATGTAAGGCCTGGTCCATGACATGCGGGCAAACTGTTGGTGTGTAATGGGAAAAATCAGCTACTGATGCGTGCAGTACTACCAAAGCAGCATCTCGTTTTATACCCGGAACATGAGAAGTACCGGTGCTCTTCAATGTACAGGTACCGGGGGGCCCGGTGTCAGCTGTTGTGACAATTCCAGGCTTCCTATCGGTAAACCTGCACCGCTGGCCCAGTCGTCACAGCCTCCATATTTACATGCCGGATTGTGGACCGAATCAGGGCAAGCAAAACGATGCACCTCAAGAACCCGACGAATGTCAGGCGATCACCCTGAAATCCAATCCTTCTGTGGAGGAGGCCCCGAACGGTCCCGAAATGTCGACAATGATGTCAACATCAGATACAGTGGAAAAGAAGAAAACACATCTGAGTTGTTGTGGGAAGCCGAGGAACGAATCCTCCAACACCAACAACACGACCTGCCCGAGTGTTCCACACCCCAACGAAGAGGACGTGGAGGTGGGTGTGGAGGTTGGGGTGAACCTGCGACTGCAGATGTATCGAATGGCCAATCAACTGAGGCAGGAGAAACGGCTCTTGCGTGGCCGAGTAATGCCTTTCAGACACACCAAGGTGGGCCTGTTTTTAAGGATAATATTGTGTAATTGTTGCGCCTAACTTCCCCTCAAATATGTTACGAAATCGTGACTCTAAATAAGTCCTTATTATAAATATAAAAACGACAACTTTTTACTTGAAGCTCATCAATAGAATTAACTCTGCGTTATATGTGCCCCAAAGCACACTGCTCCTAGTATCTTCAGTTCCGACGACTTTTAACCAATAATAATAAAAGCAATGTTATGTCACTACTTCGTAGTTCCTGGAATCTGGAACTTCTTTCGTCCAGTTTTCCTTCTCAAAGTACAAAAGGAAGCATTAACGAGAAACAGTAATTATTCTTAAAGTGTCTTTCGTATTGCACGGTGCATACAAGGTGGATGGAAGTGCTTACATTTGTTTGGGTAGTGTTGTTTTACTTTACGGCCAATGCGATTTTCGCTTCCAACCTCTTCTTGAAGGTGCCAACAGACGTATAAGGTCCTAAATAGCCTTGTTTTCGACGTACAGATGGTCTGAGAGACTAATGGCACGGGCGGCATTATAGGAATTCCATGCCACCAACATGGAGACTGATCCGTGGGTGGTTGGAAGGACGCATTGTCTCCTTTTCCTTCCATCATTTCCCACTTAGCAGACGACCGGAATAAAAGTTTTTTTTGCCCATGAATTTAGTGAGCTGGACAATGGGAAGCATTTAGTAATTATATTTTGAAGAAAATATAATCATATTTGTTTAGATACAGAATTGTGAGTTGTTTCACATCTAAATGGCAGGATTTTCTATCTACGCCCAGTTTGTTCTTCAATAAATTGTTACCGCTGTGAATGTATACATTTGATCAAAGTTCGTGATCATTTAGCAGATGTGTAATGCAGAATGTTTACTTATGCATACTTTGTTTCTGCTTATGAAAGTTCCTGTCTTTCACTGTTTTGACTCTTAGTCTTTAAGCATTCAATATTTTTTTTGTTTCTCGCATCTAGTTCCGGAGGTACATCCACTGTTCGCACCGACGGTGCCTCGTGGAGAGACTCAATTCTCCGATAGCCTCACCAACATCGACGGTAATTTGTCTTTCATTCAAGTCTATTTGGTAACCTGTGTGTGAGGCAATAGTAGCTCGTAAAATTGTTTATCCCAGAACTCTAACTGTCGAAAAAAGCCCATAAAAACGGTGGATTTAAGTTGCCGTTGAGTCGGCTCTCAGCTTATACCTTGTATCTCATTGTTAAAGGTAAATTCATCCATCAGACGAGAAATTTTCTAAATCGTTGCATTTTACAGTGCCACCTATCTTTAAAAGCTACTGCTGGCTCCACCTCGAAACACGTTTGAGGAATTTGCGCTTTGTTGCTTATCCAGGATCTGCCAAATATTAGTCTGTGGGTCAAAGTTTCAGAGGTCATTGTCGTGCCATGTCACGTTTGCAACTGCTTGGTTGAGATACGGTGGTATTTTTAGGTTGCTCATTTACTGTATCAGATAGTCTTGATCTAAGGATAACTAAATACGTGAAACCTCTCCAAAATTTAACTAAATTTTTTGAAATACACCAATATTTGCATTTTCTAGTTCGTTAAATGTTAATAACTTGCCATGTTCGGTAAACCTAATAAGCTGGCTTTTCTTGGGCTCGAAACCCACTTGTCTTTCTGTTGAGATTGTATTGTTTTCTAGGTCGTAGATTTATCGGAACTTTTAGTTCATTTTTCATCAAAGTTAATGGCACCAACCCCTTTGGTGTTATATGCTTTTCTGGCCTTACAAAGTTAAGAACCCTTCTCAAAGTGGCTGTTTTAATGAATGAATGCCTTATATGAAACTCAAAATCAACGTGGTTCTTTTTTAAAAGGATGCCATTACTAGATCCGATTCTTTCCAGAATGATTAAATTGCCATTCTCCCAAATATTTACAGACTTTCATCCAATTATACCCTTATTTTTCCCCATTTAAGTTTAGAATGCCGTTATTTCACGTATCACTCCTTGTTTTAGTACGTTGAAATCACACAAGGATACCTTCTCTATTTTGGCTTGTCTAAATTACAAAGGGGAAGTTGATTAGAACGGGTTTTCGAAGCTTTTCCCTTTTTCCCAATCCACTGCCTCCCGTTGAGCGGTGATTGGCTAAGCCACCAAAGCGGATCCATCCAACTTTGTCTCCGGTAAAGTGGAAGAGATCACATTAACACACACATGGAATGAGCAGAGTCCGCCATGTCATAGGCGTCGTCATATGGGCATTGATGCTGTTACCGTCGTGCAGTCATCGAAGTCTTAGTGGTCGATGTTGTCCGGGTGGATCTTTATGGCAGGGGCGTGTCCATAACTCACTCCCTCACCCACTCACTAGCTTGCTCTCTCTCTCCCTCTCGCTACGGTGTTCCATCCAGCCACCCAGCCATCCAACCAGGCGTTTTATGACCAGGCATTAAAAATTCACACGCGCACACACAAACGTGTGTTTTGACTGGCGGCTCAAATTTTGTTTTGTCTTTGCTTCTTCCCCTTTCTTCAATCCAGTGTACAGCCCTGTTTTGTGCAGTGTGTGCCATCATTTTTTTCCCTTAAATTGTCCGGTTCCGACTGAAGTGATGATAGTTGAAAAGAATGCGATATTAGAAATACATGTCACGAGTAATCACCCAGTCAGTACTGTCAGAACGCAAATTGCGTTACCCACAAGGCATCACAAGACCTGATCCTTAAGCACTGGTGTCATGATGTGAACCAAGCGCGACATCTGTCATGGTTTGATGTTGCTAAAGTTGCTCTTATTTATGTGTCGCATTTTCTCCACAAGTTGTGTTCCAGCTTAGTGTCTAGGCAACTGTTGACAGAAAATTGTTAGCACACATCCCCAGGCAATACTGCAACGGTAGCTGATCATTGGCCCAAATTGGTTGAATTTGCTTTAAAAAATGACTTTCAAAAGCCCAACTTCTCGTGCGCTGCGTACATTTTAAATCGTTGCAAATCCTGAAGATCTTTTTGCGACAACAGGACTGGGGCACTAGACACAGATGGCGTAGTTCGACTCCTGCAAATTCGTTGTGCAAGCCCCAATACTGTAAGACACACGTCGATTGACAGACAAGAGAAGGAATAAACACGCAGCAGCTTCCAGGGTCTTTTTTGCCTTCTCCGGTGGATGTATGCAGGTGAAATAATATCTCTGATCTTCTTTTTTTTGAATGACTGAAAACGAATAAAACCAGGCAGTGTCATTTTGTGCGGTCACCTTCAGCGGCGTTTGAATGCCCCTGAACGCGGCAGACGTGTGCGAGATGACCTGTAAGTGGGTCGATGCGCGAGTGTCGGTAAGTGAGAGAGAGAGAGAGAGAGGTGCCTTTGAAGCTGCCAGTAATGCTGACGACGAAAACGACGTCGATGACGATTTCGGCCTACTTGGAGGACGTAGTTTGCTAATGCACATGCTTTGCAGGTGTGCGTGGAATTGGCCGAGATGAGAAAGGCTTGCGTGTTTGCTATCAGGTAGCACACTCTTTGAAGGTGTTCGTGCCTTTCGGCATTTGCTTTGTAACCTAAGCTAATATTTGATTATGTAGCCAGTTTCAGTCTCTTGCATCCAAATTACTGGACTACAAGACCTACTTCCAGAATTTAGAGATAGCTCAAGCGCTGTATTTGCAATAGTACGATGGGATATGCTCGACATCTTTTATTACTTGCAAAGACTACAAAAGCTTTCACTGATACTTCAAGGGATGCGTCGGTTGGTTATTGCTCGAAAAATGCTACAGAAGGCAAATATCTGTTGTGAATGTGTAAAACTGTGGACTTTTGGCAAATACCCCAGCCTCAAGTTCTGTATCAAGATTAATAGAAGAGCAAGACCTTCACTGAAGGAGTTCAAGTCGTTCACTTAATAGAGTCGGTTTGGTTATTACTGCGAAAACGACAGCAATTAGGTAAATCCACATTAAAAGGAACGTAACCTCCTCTAGACTCATATACCTTATGATGCCCTTGGAAATGACTGAAGCGCTACCCCTTAAAAAGAGTAGCAACTCCAATTTCTTTAGCTGGAAAATACGTCTGCTGTGGATGGCTGAATCCACAGCGATGTTCAACGGAGGAGACATCAAAAGGATTTGGACTATTTTCAACAACCTCACGCTTGAATTACAAATGATAACGAGCAATGCGGTGAGAAAAGACTCTATCGAGATGACTAGTCGAGATAAATTTGCTTGCATACTGCGCGCTCCTTTGAAGGTGGGGGTTTATGCACAAGTTTAACAGTTATCTTCACGCCTAAGTGATAGCCAGCTTTTCTGCCAGCTATTCACAGGACACACTCAGACACAACTAACCACTCCTCCTCTCTTCGTCTTCATGGTTTATGATCGACTTTTTTGGTGTTTATTGCAGATTTTTAAACATTTTCTTAGGCGCTTACGGTAACACGACAGTTTTTCCACGTTTTTTGAGATTGATCATCCCTTTCCAAAATTGAAATTACAAATCGCTATGCTTATTTGTCCTTCTTTTACAAAAAAAAACAATTTCCCGAAGAACTGAGCTTTTTGAAGTTTTGAGATCGAACTAATTTCTGCGGTACCTGCAGATCCCATTTTTAAGCGATTTGTTGTACAAAATGCTACTCCGTTTGCGCACTTGGTCTCTTCCACTTGACGGTTTAAAAAGGTCATTGTTCATTGAAATATGCGTTGAATCAAGCTTATATTCGTCCTTTCTCAGTTTGGGAGTGTCTCTGTGTAGTCAGATAGCGACCCTGCCTTCTTTTAGATGATTATCCGTAGCGTCAAATTTGCTCATAGAATTTCTATAACACGTAAAAGCCTACAAATTACTCGACCATAGGTACTTTTGCGTACCCTTTGTGACGACATGTAGGCCTGCCTAGTTCTATTGTATTACACCACTTGTGTTATCCATGAAGATATTGTCGTGGATACAGGTCTAAAGGTGAGCGTGCAGAAGGGGCTGAATGGCTAGTAGCCTAGACACCACGAGCCGAGCTTATTCCTCTACTAGACTGGGGAGCTCGATTGCATGAAATCGGAAAGCCTGATATAGTTATGTAGCACTTTAAGTCTTCACTGAAGTAGACGTTAGCCATGCCAGTGGAAGAGATCTATCGTGAACATACAAAACGACAGCTAGAGTCTGTAGACATGGTCGAAAAACCGTGGTGACTGAGCTACACACACTAAGGGAAGTGTCCCACCACTACACAAATATCACTCTTTTGCAGTGTAATTGAACCAAAAGTTGTCCTAATTAATGGTTCAGATTTTATTTTTAGCGTCACTACCACCAGTCTTCCCATGTGTTCCACTAAAAGAAGTGCTCTTGAGCCAGCATCAAAGATGATGCACAGGAGCTGCATAACTGCAAGACTATGCCCTGTTCCGCTAGTACCAGTACATTTTGCAGATCTAGATAGGATCCACTTTGAACAGTGAGTACAGTTCCTGTGTTGATCTCACTCTCTCATAAAGCATTCATTATAAAGCAAAATTAATTTTAGTTTAATGGTTGTACTTTACCCTCCGGTTCTGGTTGGGAAATCATTGTTGTTTGCTTGAAAAGTAGTGTAAAAGTGTGTAGTTCGACATTAGTTGTAGGAAAATAGGCATCCGGTTTGAGGTGATTTTAACACTCTTGATCAGATCCTGCTGTACCGTTTGATCTTAGCGCACAGGGACCCGGATAAAGAGCAGCTGGTATTCTGACATTCAGCTTGAGCACTACATGGGTAGGTTGAATTTAAACTGAAGTATCCACTCCTACTCATAATCACTGACTTTCTAAGGCCCATTTATGGGCAGTGGTTAAGCTTTTCACATTGTGAATGGTTCAAAACCTACCTGAGGTTTTTCCCATTTCTCTTAAAATAGTTAAAAGCCCGAGAAGCACTAGGTTGTTATTGCTTAAAGCTGCTTTTGCGTTTTTGTTTTCTTCATCTCCTTCATGCTCTGTCTCACGGTTCCATTATAAAAACCAGAATCGTTTAAAGTTTTTTACCTAATTTTTAATGACAAATTAAAAATGACTTTTCTGGACATCTGGTTTGCTTCTTTGCTTAAGCAATCAAGCATCACTTTTCAGTACTACTTAATTGCCAGCTCAGTAATACAACAGCGATTAAATAGTTTATCCATCTCCCCATTCGTCTGCCAGTTTGGACAAACAGGCTTTTGTGGTTTTAGCCTGTTCTTTTAAGCGCGCTATTTCAATTAAAGGAATGTAGCAGTTTTCGAAAATTTTGTGTGGCCTCGCGGTAGGGCCTTGTAATTCAATCTCTCACTTAAGCGACAACTACGATTCGGCTAGCAATTCCGTCAAAATGACAAGTCTTGCAGCTGAAGGGTAAAAGTTAACCTAGGCTTATCACCGCATCAAAGTGAACAGACTGAATCCGTC